CATAAGCCCAGGGTAAACTTGCTAGCTTTCAGTTTATTTGAGCTTGGAAGAAGCTGAAAGAAGATTGCATTCAGATTTGCTCAAGTGAGCAGTGCCACAGAGCAAAGTGGCAGCCGCAGCAGCGCAGCCGTGGGACACCTTTACCAGTGCTTCACTTTCCTCCTGCCCAGAGGAGCAGGGTTTACCTCCACCAGCACAGGACACAGGATGAGCCCCCAGATGCTCAGTGGTTACTGGGAGCCACACTTTGGAGCAAGGAGAGGATTTCCACCAGCAGTCAGCTGTCGGCCTCGCTATTCTGCAGGTCTGAGGATGCTGCCCAGCACATCCTGCCTCATTTCGAGGCATCTCCTCCCGTTTCCATCCTGCAGTGCATGCCCTGCTAACCTCCCCGAAGTGTGAGCATCTCCCTCTGAATCACAGCACATGTGTTTTGCTCCGCTCCTCCTCGCGGCTCGGAGCCCACACCGAGGCAGCCCTTCACAAATGGAATATTTTTTCACTTCTTGCTGGGTGGGTCCGCGCGCTGAAAAATAGGTCAAGAACAGTAATCTAAATCTACTGCTAATAAATAATTAAAGCTAATGGAATTTGCACAAGATCTGGGAGCTGAAATATTTCAGAACGCTGCGGTGTACATTCGGCGACTGCAAATTGGGATTTTTTATTTATCATTGTGCAGCGTTGAAACCTATCTATAAATGTCCCTTAAAAATCCACATCTTTTTGTGCAGGGAAATACCCACATGTTACTATATCCAAATAACTACAAAGTCATAGAAAATGGTTAACATCGTGATTCATTCTTTAACGATCAGATTCCAAGTAAATACTTTAGCACCCTTAAGCAATAAGAGCTTTTATATCTCATTAAATCGTAGTTTAGCTTGAGCAATAAATGGTTTGCTTGTATGATTTAATTTGTCTTATATTTTAGGAATTAAATAAGTCATGTGGGCTGCTGCACGGTGCCTGTTTGGACAACTGTCTGGGATGTCAGTTTCAGAGCAACGCTAAGTGAAAGCAATCAGAGACAAAGCCTTGTTTCCCATATTGCACCTCCATGCATGTGCCCAGGATCTCCGATGGAGGAGCTTTAGGTGCTGCATTTCTTTGCAGCCATCCCATCTCAGCAGCAAGCAGCAATGGGCCGGCACACTGCCCAGAGAGAGGGGCTGGCAGGAGGGCTCCTCCTGGGGCTGTGCCCTTCCTTCTCTGTACGTGGATTGGACAGATACATGTGGTCCCACACAGCAAACCTCTATGGGCTGTCCTGTTGGGCTGTTGGTTTTCCACTGCTTGCTTGCTTGGTTGGTTGATCATCATTTCGCAGCTCTCACAGGAAGTGCCTGGGGTTTGGGGCTCAGCCTCGCCAGGCCTGAGCTCCTCATTCTGTGGGGGCTGACACAGGAGGAGGGAATGCAAAGGGATGGGATGTGGCAGCGCGGGCAGCTGGCAGGGGACAGGGCAGCTCGGAGATGTCAGCAGTGCTGCAGGTGGCTGTGGCTCTCAGGGACGTCTGCCCTTCCCAGCGCAGCTGGCAGCCCTTGTTGCTCTCAGGGAGGTGATACGTGGAGCAGATCATGGGAAGTGTGGCCACAGGCATAGGAAATTATGCTGCCCGTTTCTTTTGGTTTGGTTTTGTTTCACGGCAACACGATAGCTGTGCAGATGATGAAGGTGCATGCAGGTCGAGCTCAGCTTCCCGCGCTGCTTTATCAAACCAGGGTCAGAGGGCTCTTGTTGTGACATTCAGAGATAAGCGTTTGGGAAGTAAATGAGATCGAGAGTCTGAGGGGAGATCAGAAGATGCTGTGCAGCTTCAGACCTCCAGTAAATTACCAGCACGGCGCTGGTACCCTGACCACTGATGTGTCCTTTGTACTGCGCCGTGTATTGAGACAGAGAGAAATAATGCAGTTGTGTGAACGATACGTTTGTCGCCCAGGTTTTTCCCACAGATTCATTCTTGGCTTATTTTCCACAGAGTTATTTTTAATGCGAATGGAAAGGGAGTTAAAAATTGTTTGGATTCGGATTTCATTGTGTGGCTGCTTAATCAAAATATAAACCAGTTGTTTGTGCTCCCGAAAAGAGGAAAAGGCTGCATTAGCTTTCAGCTATCAGATTTGATTCAGACAATGATACAGCATCCTAATTCATCGTCTCTGCTTCAGATATCGAGTTTGTCTGTGATAGAGTCTTGTTCAGAAAACAGCTCCATCCCAATACATCATCTGCAGAGAGGGAGACCGAGCACGCTCAGGCAGCACGGAGAAGCAGGCGGATAACGCGATTGTATCGGAGTGCTCCGATACGGCACTGCGTTGTGCTGATGAATTACCACTCGTTTTCATGTTCAATTGCACGGATGGTTGTAGCTGCTCTGCTGGGGGGCGGTGATGCAGGCTGCATGCGAGCTGAGCACCTTTCCTGTTCTGATGGCAGCCCAAGCACTGAAGGCCACCGCACTCAAACAGGCACTAAGTCACACGGTGTCCTTGCTGACCAGCCCTGCTCGCTCCCCCGGGCCCAAACTTAACGTCCTTCCTTCTGTTCAGTTTAGTGACAAAGAAGGTAAAATTCCATTTGATGTTCATGTCGGATTTCAAGACCGAGTCCGACTTGGAAATTTTCCAAGCTGCCAAAAAGAAATCTCACCAGCACACTGTCTGCTGGTGACTCGTGGCATATGCGGTTCTGATTTCTGCCTGTTTATTTTGCACTTCCTTTTTGCTGTGAGCTGTCTGGAGATGGATGCTGTTTAGCTGGGGAGAAGCAGGCACACAAGCAGGGCACAGGGAAGGTGTGCTCCTTGGCCGTGCTGTCTGCCCAGTGACCTGCATGGCAGATCTGGTTATCTTCCTGAACAGCCTCCGGGGCTTTGCTGTCTGTGCAGGCAGGTGGGCTGGGTGCCTGTGCTTTGGCTCTGGGAGCAGTGCTGGGTACATTGCAGCTGTGCAGCAAGACTTGGGGTTGGTCATGGGTCAAACCTCCTCTGTTTCCACTTTCATGAAGTGCTGCTTTGCCTGAGTGGTGTAATTTTCCCCTGTTTTATGAAGTTTAAAAGGATGCCAGCATCCTGACTGTACATCGTGTGTCTCGCTTTATATTTCAGCCCCAAATACAGGCATTTATTTTGCCACTGATGGTTTTGTGTTTTCTTTGATGGCATCATCATCAGGCTACAAGGAAAACACATTACAAAACGTGCAAAGCCTCCTGGCCTCCCCATGTAGTCAGGAGATGGGAAAAGCTGCTCAACCTGCTGCTCTGCTCTGGGAGAGGCGTTGCTGACAGGCAGTCGTGGTGCACACGGACAGCACTTACCCTTTTTCTGTCCCAAAACAGACGACAGAAAATATCAGGAAGCATTAAGGTGTAAAAACAGAAGCGTTTATAGGTTTGGTACGGAAGAATGAGCTTATAAAGCAGTGACATTATCTTCAGCTTGATGGGGATTAGCTGTGTGGTAGTGCAGTAACCACGAAAGCAGTGAAATTTGGCCAATCATTTGTCTTTGATAGCTTCATTTACGTTCAGCCCCCTAAGCCATCTCTCAGGGAGTGCAAGAGCTCCTGCTTCTCCAACTCTCTCTGCCACTTGTCATTTAAATGACAACAAGCACTTCTCCAAAAGCCTGCTTTTCCTTCAGCAAATCAGACTAAACCCAGTGCTGAGGGTATTTTGGTGTGTGGTTTGATGTCCAACTTGCTGCATGACTTTAGATGGAAATGTTATTGCACTGGTCCCAAATTTTTATGGTGACCCACTTTCCTGATGGGGCCACCCATCCTGGCTGACCAGCCTCAGCTCTGTCTGCTGGAGCCATGCAAGGCCAGGGCCTTGGGCTGTGCCTCCTGCACTTTCTTTCTGGCTGTAGATGTGCTGAGCAGTTACTGCTTGTGCCTCAGCAGTGGAATATGATGGCAGAAATGGAGTCACAGACTCACAGAACGGTTGGTTTGGAAGGGACCTCACAGCCCTCAGCCACAACCCCTGCCATGGGCTGGGTGCCCCCTGGCCCAGGTTACCCAGGGCCCATCCGTGGCCTTGGGCACCTCCAGGGATGATTTCTGAGCCAGGGCCTCACCGCCCTCCGAGTAAAGAATTTCCTCCCATGTCTGACATAAATATCCCCTCTTTTAGTTTAGAGCCATTCCCCCTTGTTCTGTCATTGTCAGACTGTGTTAGAAGTAAGAGCTCAGTTTCTTGGCTGTGTGGAATGGAGAGGGTCCGCTATGAAGTCACAGGACCTCACTCTGCTGGCATGCACATGATGGTATTTCTGAGAATTTGTAAGAAAATGAGACCTGAGCCAGCTGAACGTGGGGCCCCCGAGAATTTTACAGAAGATGTAACTGCTTCTGCTGTCCTATCTTGCGTTGGCTGCTGTGTAAAACTATGCTAGAAACTTCTAGACATTTCTGTAGGCTGCATTTTAACACATTCATTAGTACAGTGTGTTGTAATTCTGAAGAGGAAATACTTGAGTTATACAGAAACCAACAAACAATTCTCTCATCTTCAACGTGGCTATCTCCTGTTCTGTGCTGGCTGAAGCCAGAGCAGTCTTGAGAGAATAAATGTACAAAATGACAGCACTCCTAGCTGGAATGATGGTCCAGTCGTATTTCTTTAAGCCTGGCTTCCACATGTGGGATAAGTTCAGAGGTGTAGCTGCTGTGTAGGTAGATAGAGGCATTTGCTGCTAATCGTATTAGTGTTTCAGCTGAATGATGAGATTGGAGACGTTCAGTGCTTACCTAACATCAGTTTTGTTAATTAATACTATCACAACACATACAGGTATGTGTCAAGCTGGAAATGCAGACTTGTTCAAACTTAATTTTAGATGTACTTCTACTTTAATCAAAGCTCCCACAAAATGCAGCCACGTCTGAAGTAGTATTCCAGACCCGAAAGCAGAGTTAGAGATAACTTGACAACCACGCATCCTTTCACATTTGTCTGATGGAATATTTTCTTCTGTCTTCCAGGACCTGCGCAAACAGGTAGCTCCACTACTGAAGAGTTTCCAGGGAGAGGTAAGAGCTTCTGCTTCTCTTGGTGTTTTTGTTTTTGCTCCACGTGATCAGTGTACCACGGCCTGTCAGCACGGCCAGGCCAGGATGGAAGCTGTGAGCAGGGAGCATAGCAGGGGTTCTGCTTCCCTGTGTGCTGGCATGCGTGTGATACGTTGCATTAGTGCTGGGCAAGCTAAACTCGTCCAGTCCCACTGCATTTAGCAGCCCTGAACGTAAGCTTTCTGCTGTGACTCAGGTGCACACGCTAGCTCGGTACGCCTCGGTGACTTGGTGCTTTGAATGCTTAATGAACTCAGTGTGATGTATGTGTGCAAAACTATGAAGGTGCCGCACACTGTTCCAGCTGTAAAAGACTGTGTTTTAGCTGTGTTTTAGAGGGCTTGTTGGAAGACTCAAAGGTGGCAGGTGTTGGTTGGAAAACCAACAAAGTGCTCACAGCTCCGGCCGCGGCTCATTCCTTGGTGCCTCTTCACACTGCTGCATGAGAAGTGCACGGTCAGAGCGATCACAACTCCAAAAGCCAAGTGGTGTTATTTTGAAGGGTTTCTATACGTAAAAGCAGCTGAACCACTCACAGAATGGGGCATTTTAGCTGAAGCACTCCCTCACTAAGTGAAGGCCGGGCGGGGGCTGTTGTGCTCCTTCAGGACAGTGCTGTGCATGGAGGTTGCAAGTTACATTTCTCTTATCGGTGCCTGGGTGTGGTGGGGCTGGGGTTAGTGCACACTTTGTTCTGCTGCAGAGCTCTGCTTTTAAAGTCAGCTCAGTCACAGCAACAGCACTTTGGGCTTTGTCAGTCTGTAGTAAGTTGTTGGCTGGTTTTGTGCTGTTGCAGTTCCCATCAGCGTGCTGAGAAATTCAGGAGCGTGTTTTCAGAAGCCTGCCTAGAGAATTAAGTACACAACTCCTATTATCTGTAATGAGGGTTGCATTTCTGATTGCTTGCACATCCTGCTGAATATGTATCCCAAATAAGCAACAATTTCTCATCTTAAAAGCAGCGTGGAATTCTTAGTTTACTCTCCGATTTCCCAAGTACTGCTATAAATAAATAAATAAGTAGAACTTTGTCCTTGATATACCTAATAGCAATCTGTGAGAACAAAGAATGACTTGTGTGAGTCCATTTGCCAGTAGAAATTTACACTTCAGAATTGCTGTGCTCTTAAACCTTTTCACTTTAGTTTCAAGCTTGCAAAGCACTGACTGAAGTGTATGTATGCTTTCAGCACTGTTCTTTAATGAAGGGAATGTCTGAGGATCAAGTAAGAACCATAAATCCAAGTTTTGCTACAGTGAAGGAATATCCTGCCGTTAGATCTCGCCTCTTGGAGGCCTTGGCGTGGCTCATACACATTCTTCCTGCATAGATATCTGCTTCACTAATGTAAAAGTGAGGTTTGTGTTGGTATAAATTCAATCTCATGAAGTCTAAGAGTAAAATTCATTGGTAGAAATCCCCTCTTACTGAAGTGAAGCACACATAAATCACAATACTGTGCTGATGAATCTCATATCCAGTGAGTCTGGTTTCTCTAATCTGTATGGGCTTTCAAAAACCTGAAAGAACTCATCTGATCATGTTTGGTCTCTTTATTGTTAAGGCTTTCTGAAGACTGATGAGCTGAATGCTCCATGTGGGAGCAGGAATGCTCCAGGAAGAGATTGCATTCAGCATGTAGGCTTTCTCCATTTCAGATCCACTGGAGACACTTACTCTGTGAAATTATCACTCTACCACAGAAGGGAAGTAGCTTTTGCAAATGCCATGTGGGATGCCATGTTTTCTGCAGGCTCTGGGCACTGAGGAAGAGCCAGAAGATGAGAATGTGCAGTTCTGTAAGAGGCACACACACATAGCTTTACGTGGCCACTGCTGTGCTCCGGCTGAGCCCTGGGCTGCCTCCCCAGCTCCTGGCTCACCTCCACACTGCTGCTGCTGCACTGAGCCCTCAGGAGCACGTTTTCTTTTTTCCCTTTTTTGCTGGCGTTGTTTTCTGCCAGGTCAGTGGCTCATGCAGTTGATGCAGGCTCTGCTGGATTGGCAGAGGCAGCAGGGCAGAGCCGAGGGCAGGAGGTGCAGCTGGGCCAGCGGTTGACTTAAACTCTCCTTGAACTGTACCCTCGCAAGCCTGATGTGACTTGGAGAGGTTGCCTTAAGCTCAGGTATTTAAATATCCTCCTGAGCATGCTTTATGGGACATCTGCTTGTAAAACTGTGGCTAGTTCACTTTTTAAAATAAACGCACCGATCAGTGCAACCAGTGCTGCTTCTCAGCTTGGAGGTGGATATTGACACCTCACTGCCTCTTTATCTTCTTTTCATATAATACGAATTCATACAGAAAAACAACCCAACCCACAAACCAGAACGTTCTGTGTTCTGTGGATATTAATCAGAAGAAACTGCAGATGAAAAGCATTCTAGTTATCAAATATGCAGTTTCCATGAGTTGTTGGCAGTAGCTCTTTTTGTATAGATCTTGGTGCTTTAAGGAGGTGTGGATTTTTTATCATGATGGTTGAAGTAGAAGTGTTATGAAACGAAATCTAACCTACTACTGATATTAAATCTCATGTTTGCTTGCTTCTCATTCACCTGAGGATGCATCTTAGTCATGGCTTGTTCACAGTGTGCTGGGTTAAACGCAAGACAGAATTGGAGGTTTAAGAGCTTTATCATTCAATCATAAAATCATTATCATTTCCACGTTGGCAGCAGCCCCCAGATGAGCTGTTCCTGCCCACCAGGCCGTTCTGCATCGCCGTGCTTATGGGAGCCGATGGATATTTGTCCAAGAAATCTTAAAAATAAAACTTTACGTTCTTGGGCTATGTGAATTTACAGGACTGACGTTGTGGTATGGAAATAAAATGTCTGAATCCGTATTTGTGAAGTCATCAAATAGATATTTTAAGGCTGGGAAAGGATTTCCTGAGGTCATTAGCATTCTTTTCATGTGGCATAGCAGTACTGTCCAACAGTAATGCAGTAATCCCTCATTTGGAGAACCCTTTAAGGCACGGGCTCCAAACAACACACTGGGCTTCATTTCTGTAAAATCCATTTCTCAGATTCTTCTCACAAAGGGAGCACTTCTAAGAGTGCTGCCGTTCTGATGAGACCACTCCGGCTCCCCACTTAGCTGAATTGCTCTTTAAACTATTAATTTGGTCAGCAGAGTAATTTAATAATTTTCCATATGCAGACAACAGAAGCTGAAAATCTGTTTGGTGTGCTGGAACTACTAATCACGCCTTTGAAGCAGCACTGTAATAATGCGTGTGCCTACAGAACTTCAGGCATACTTTCCTTCTGTGTTTTTCAAGGAGTGTTCCTGAGCTGATATTCACCCCCTTTAATTTCCTTATGTTAAATTTACAAAGCTAATTAATACAATTTCTTTCCTGTAGGTTCTCTCCATGATGGCTCAATTAGAGTAGCAGTAGAACTGTGGTTCAATATTCAGGCCAGCTTCATAATTGAAAACACATTTTCTTCTCAAAAGCTGCAGCTGGTTTGGTTCTGCTCATGCAGAAAAGGATATAACCTTGCATAACATAGGAAATGAACGGTTGAGAGAGAAGCCAAATTCAATTTCAGTCAGATATTTTGAGGATAAGTCCGTGATCTATGGAAGCAAGGGAATGAAAAGTGTGTGTATGTGGAAAGCAGCGTATTCAGCACTCTATTAATCACGGCTAGCCTGGGTGCTGTTGTGTGCTGTTGCGTTAGCGCTGATTCGAGTACAGAGGCTGGAGAGCAGCCAAGCACTCCAGAAGTTAACCTCTTAAAGACCCTGAGCTGCTTTCTGTTGAATAAATGTAATTTTGTGGTCAGAAATAAATGCTTGTGATGTAGCAGGAGCTTTGAAAACAACAGCGTGGCAAAGCTATTACAAATTGCTCCATGTTGTGGAAGTCAACAGCACACATCAAAATTCAGAGCTCATGTCGAGGCGATCCCACTGCAGCCACCCTCCCATGAAAGTCCCATTAAGACAAGCCACGTAACAAAATGGAGTCAGCCTGGCATTTTTGGTGGTAATAGTTATCTTCCTGGGACAAACCTCAGCGATTGGGATAACAGAGCAAGTCCCAAACCTAACAGACCCCAGTCATACACAGGGCACCTTTCCGAAGCTCTCGCAGGTTCATCTCCATCCCGTCTGGTGTGCAAAGTCCTACAGAAACAGGCATCGCTCCCGGGGTAACTTTGTGGAGGGGATCAACCCAAATCCTCTTATTTTTATATAATTGACAATGTGCTGAAATTCCTGTTGGCAGCTGGTGGGCTGTCTATATTAAGGCTTGCTGTGCCGCTGCCACGCGTTTGGGTGAAATGCTAACAGTGGTGGGAAACTATTTATGCAAAATTCAGATAGGCAGCACTGTTTCAGTTCACAGTGTCAGGAGTATCTTCTCCTCCCCTTAAAAAAAGAGAGCTTGAAGTGTGCTGGAAGGAATGGGGATGGGGGGGCTCTGCAGGGCCGGATTCTGCCGAGCGTCATCATAATCCAGTCCCTGCTTCTCCAAATACAGAATTACTCCTGTATTTAGTGCAGAATTACTGCAAGGCTCTGCACAAGCCAGTGTCTGGTTTTGTTTTGCTGTAGTAAAGCAGTGGTGATTTTTAATAGGGCATCCCAGTATAAAACATGAGCAGAAGATTGCACTTTGGTATTTACGTGCAGGTGGATTTTGCACAGAGGCATTTAATGAACTCATTATTCCAAGGACTCCACTGTCCTAATTTTAAAAATACTTAAAAGAAAGGTATGGGACATCCGTGAGAGAGAAGAGTGATTGCAGAGCCCAGGTCATTGCTACAGAGGCAAAAGGCTGATGGGCAGGAGAAAGCTCCTGCTCCCTTTCCTGCTCCTCCTGCTGTGAAACTGGAGGTGAAGCAGGATGGCACCGGTTGACACCATGTCCTCCTTCCTCCCCCTTTGCTGTGCTGTGCACTGAGCTTTGGTGTGCCCCTCGCTGGGCAGGTGTCC